AAAAACGAGCGTGTCGCTCGAGACATCCTCAACATTTAATTCGCCGGCCCACCTCATCCTCGATATTTATCGCAAAAGACATTCGCCGGCACATCTCAAGTCGAAACCGGGGGTAAACCCACTAAAAAAGAAGCCTGGGCCTAAGCCCTTTCCGGGAACATGATCGACCCACGAACCCGGAAAGGAATATAGAAATGTTGCGCATGGCAACGTTTTCAATGACACCTGATTGGGTGACGGGCAAATGCAATGCTGAGTGTATCGATCATGATGTACCCTGCCGAGGGCTGTGCTGTGCTGCACCGTTCTGAATTGCGATGTGCCATGCCGCGAGTGTGCTCTATAGCGTCGTGGATCGAGTCCTCCTTTGCATCCGAGTCCTGACCGAACTGATCTGGATCTTAAGCTCGAGCTGCCTGAACACATAGTAGCTGCCCCAGAGCTAATTGACAGGGGGACATGCCAGGAGGACGCGCCGCGGAACGTCTCAAGGGACGCGCAAAGCGACGTGCCAGGGGACGTGCCATGGGGACGCACCGCGGGGCGTGCCAAGGGGACGCGCTACGGAACGTGCTGGGGACAAGCGTTTCGCTCGAGACATCCTGTCAAAGTCCTCATGCTAGACATCCGCCTGAGCGACCTGGACACGTGAAAACAAGCGATTCGCTCAACACATCCTCAACGCATTCTCATGCTAGACATCCGCCTGGGCGAACTGGACACGTGAAAACAAGTGGTTCGCTCGAGACATCCTCAACACATCTTCATGTGAGACGTCCGCCTCGGTGACCTGGGCACGTGAAAACAAGCGTTTCGCTCGAGACGTTTTCAACACGTCCTCATTCTAGACATTCGCCTGGGCGACCTGCACACGTGAACGCATACGTCTCGCTCGAGACATCCTCAACACATCTTCATGTTTGACATCCGCCTGGGCGACCTGGACACGTGAAAGCAAGCGTATCCCTCAAGACATTCTCAACACATCCTCATGCTTGGCATCCGCCTGGGCAAGCTGGACACGTGCAAACAAGCATCTCGATCGAGACTTCCTCAACACATCCTCATGCTACACATCCGCCTGGGCGACGAGGACGCGTGAAACCAAGCGTCTCGCTCGAGACATCCTCAACAAATCCTGGCGCTAGATCTCTGCCTGGGCAACCTGGAGGCGTGAAACCAAGCGTCTCGCTCGAGACATCCTCAAGACCTGGGCACGTGAAAATAAACATGTCACTTCAGAGATCCTCTGAATTCTGGTCCCCAGGAGAAGACAATCTATAACACAAAACAAGCGTTTCGCCTGAGACATCCTCAACAAATTCTGAAAAACGAGCGTGTCGCTCGAGACATCCTCAACATTTAATTCGCCGGCCCACCTCATCCTCGATATTTATCGCAAAAGACATTCGCCGGCACATCTCAAGTCGAAACCGGGGGTAAACCCACTAAAAAAGAAGCCTGGGCCTAAGCCCTTTCCGGGAACATGATCGACCCACGAACCCGGAAAGGAATATAGAAATGTTGCGCATGGCAACGTTTTCAATGACACCTGATTGGGTGACGGGCAAATGCAATGCTGAGTGTATCGATCATGATGTACCCTGCCGAGGGCTGTGCTGTGCTGCACCGTTCTGAATTGCGATGTGCCATGCCGCGAGTGTGCTCTATAGCGTCGTGGATCGAGTCCTCCTTTGCATCCGAGTCCTGACCGAACTGATCTGGATCTTAAGCTCGAGCGGCCTGAACACATAGTAGCTGCCCCAGAGCTAATTGACAGGGGGACATGCCAGGAGGACGCGCCGCGGAACGTCTCAAGGGACGCGCAAGCGACGTGCCAGGGGACGTGCCATGGGGATGCACCGCGGGGCGTGCCAAGGGGACGCGCTACGGAACGTGCTGGGGACAAGCGTTTCGCTCGAGACATCCTGTCAAAGTCCTCATGCTAGACATCCGCCTGAGCGACCTGGACACGTGAAAACAAGCGATTCGCTCAACACATCCTCAACGCATTCTCATGCTAGACATCCGCCTGGGCGAACTGGACACGTGAAAACAAGTGGTTCGCTCGAGACATCCTCAACACATCTTCATGTGAGACGTCCGCCTCGGTGACCTGGGCACGTGAAAACAAGCGTTTCGCTCGAGACGTTTTCAACACCTCCTCATTCTAGACATCCGCCTGGGCGACCTGCACACGTGAAAGCAAACGTCTCGCTCGAGACATCCTCAACACATCTTCATGTTAGACATCCGCCTGGGCGACCTGGACACGTGAAAGCAAGCGTATCCCTCAAGACATTCTCAACACATCCTCATGCTAGGCATCCGCCTGGGCAACCTGGACACGTGCAAACAAGCATCTCGATCGAGACTTCCTCAACACATCCTCATGCTACACATCCGCCTGGGCGACGAGGACGCGTGAAACCAAGCGTCTCGCTCGAGACATCCTCAACAAATCCTAGCGCTAGGCCTCTGCCTGGGCAACCTGGAGGCGTGAAACCAAGCGTCTCGCTCGAGACATCCTCAAGACCTGGGCACGTGAAAACAAGCATTTCACTTGAGAGATCCTCTGAATTCTGGTCTCCAGGAGAATACAATATATAACACAAAACAAGCGTTTCGCCTGAGACATCCTCAACAAATTCTGAAAAACAAGCGCTTCGCTAGGGACATCCTCAAAAATGATTCCGCCGGCCCACCTCGACCTCGATTTTTATCAGAGAATAACTCCGCCGGCCCACCTCAAGTCAAGTCCGGGGGTAAACCTCTAAAAGAGAACCCTGGGCCTAAGCCCTTTCCGGAAAAAAAAACATGTCACCTGAGACATCCTCTGAATTCTGGTCCCCACGAGAGGATCGATCTATAGCACAAAACAAACGTTTCGCTCAAGACATCCTCAACCAATTATGCACAACACCCAATTGCAACCCAATATGATGCAATCGAATGTTGGAATGTCTCGCAATCCAACACATTGCCTTGCAATGGAATCGATTGGACCACATAGCTTACACCACATTGATTGCACCACATACGTCACCACATAGCTCAAACTACATAGATGAGTACGCTAGCTCGTACCACATAGATCGAACCACATAGCTCACATCACGTAGCTCACTCAACAAACATTGCACCACATAGTTTGCGCCACCTAGCTTGCACCGCATGGATGGATTGCACCACTTCGATTGAACGATGGTCGCTTTTTGTCGTGCAGGCTTGCGAACATCATTTCCTTGAGCATGCATTCAAGACTCCTACGGACTTCAAAGAGGAGGATGAAGTCTGAACTTCTTTCTCATCATCCAACTCCTCATCGCCATCCTCACATCCCCCCGTTCCTCCTAGCACCCCCCCCAAGAGGAGGATGAGACAAAGGAGGAGGATAGGCGGAGGAATGAGGAGGGGAGGAATAATAATGCTTGGAGGAGGAATGGTTGATTGAAGCTGGGTGGTGCTGGTACTGATACTAACGAGAATGCAGCAACATATATTTATATCGATACGAGTGCGACTGCGAACACTGAAACTGATATAGCCGAAGCCTACGAATACTGACTAAGCATACTACGAATACGTATACGCATGCCGCATGCTACTAGCTGCCTATACCAGTACGACTACTACTACTTTTACTAATCAGAATTCGATTTGGAATGCGAAGACTAACGCTCATACGATTAATGGTACCAACCATACTTATACGAACGATACTAATGAGATGTGTGGCCACGGGAGGCCAAGGGGACCAAACTTCGGGTAAGAAGGGGTAGCTTCCGGTTTGCGATTGGCAATTCGTCTAATTTCTGAGAAGTCTGCTCCTCTAGCTGTCCCATCCCTTCAAGCTATGATGAAAACGTTTAGCTCTTCTGATTCGTCCAGCTATCCAGAGAGAGCCCAAGAGGGCACGTGAAGGCACAGAGGCGCCCCACGACGCCCAAGATGGCGATTGACGGCCAAGAGGCCCCAAATATTGCTAACAGACGGCCCACTAAGCCGCAGGAGGAGCGTAAGAGGCTCTCAAGACGGCCCCAAGATGGGCCCAAACGGAGGAACCCAAACTCACAGTTCGAGCCTTCCACCCCGAGATGGCCCCCGAAACCGACAACCCGCAAGCTCCCGATAGGCCCCAGGAAACCCCCAAGACACACGAGGCGCCCAAGGCTCCAAGGGGCGCTCAAAAAGGTCATCCAAATGTGCTCCCAAGACCCCAGAAGGCCTTCCAGAGGCCTCTTGTCAACGACCCAGCCGCGGTGGCAGGACGGGCCGACGGCCACTAGGTGTTCCCATGGGACGCTCACCAAACAAAACCATACCCTAACGCAGGCGGGCAAACCTCATCGGGCTATGGAACGGTGTGTGCTCCGTTCGCTGAGCAACGTGACTTTGAAATCGGTTTGGCTCGAGATCCACTGCAATATGTAACGTGTGCGACGTGACCCACGCCCTACAATGAGCCACAACCCCCTGTCCCGAGAACTAGTATGTACTATGAGGGCGAGGGGAACCAAATCTGGAAGTCGTATGTGGGATTGGTACGAGTTGTTTGCCCATGCGTAATTAGGTGAAGACTGCCACCGATGTCTCAGCTGGCCCAACACAGGCTCTGGCTAATCAGGAGGGGCCCGCGATCACCTCCTTCGGGCACTTCGCATAGCCGGCGCAGTTCACTCCGCTCTGCGCGCTGGCCGACGCGGCGATCGCAGACGGGAGGTCGGCTGTCTCGCGCGGCTGCGGCGGGTTTCTCCTAAGAGGGCGCCAACTCTACACCGATGCTCACCAGGATCGGTCTCGGTGTACAGCCAAGGTTCTGCCACAAGAAACTTCGCGGGTAAGGAACGAAGAGCCTTCTGGGGGTCCTCCGCGGCGCCTAGATGCACCAGGAACGTAAAGGTAAACCAAAAGGACGGAAAGGGATATCGAGCGTCTTCTGAAGCCAGAAAGGGCCTGATCCTAGACATTTAACTATATGGTTGGCGCCCCCCAGTCTCCCTGCTCCACCCCCGGTGCCCAGCGGCATCAGCATCTTCGGGCACCAGCAGTACCCGCTCGAGCAACTCCCGGCGCTGCACCCACCTCCGTCACCGGCAAACGTCTTGCACTCGAGGCATGCCGCGGCAAAAGAGGGGTGGAAAGACTTGTTGAGTTTCGCGTTAGTGTGCGACAGGGCGACTGCCTGCCCATCAAACTCCACCTCTTCATTCCCCTCCGTCCCAGTTCTTCCCGCCCCCTCCTCCTCCTCCTCCTCCTCGTCCTCCTCTCGAAGAACGATCTGTTCAAACATATACTTTCAGAGCTCCTCGTGGACTTCTTGGATCAGCGCTGGGGCTCCCTGGCGGCGCCTAGGCGCCACCCTGGGCGGGCTCCGCCCGCCAGAGAGGGAGTCCAGCGCCGATCCAAGAAATCCGTGCGGACCTCCGCAAGGTAAATATTATTGCAGTGGTTGTTTATCTTTTATCATCCTCCTGCGACTGCCTGGGGGCACACTGCGGCGGCGAGCAAGACGGTCAACAGCCAAGAACTCGCCATGAACGTCGGAACTGCCTTGATGGACGGAAGTGGGGAAAACAAGGTTCGGTCACCTGGTGCTGCAACTGCGCATGGTCAGAAAGGTAGTTTGAGCCGAAGTGTAGACGGATATGCAACGCTTGGTGTATGGTTTACGTGTGGGGAGGGTGATGCGTATTCGTGCGCCGTGTGTTCCCTGCGCACAAGTACCACGCGTGTTGGCATAGGTGTTGGTATACTATTCGACAGGCGCGTCCCACTACTCGCAAAATATGATCGACCCACGAACCCGGAGAAGAATATAGAAATGTAGGGCATGGCAACACTTCAAAGACACCTGATTGGGCGACGGGCACATGCAATGCTGAATGTATCGATATTGATGCGCCGTGCCGAGGGCTGCGCTGTGCTGCGCCGTGCTGAATTGCGATGTGCCAGGCCGCGCTCGTGCTTTATAACGTTGTGGATCGAGTCCTCCTTTGCATCCGAGTCCTCACCGAACTGATCTGGATCTTAAGCTCGAGACTGCCTGAGCACATAGTAGCTGCCCCAGAGCTAATTGACAAGGGAACATGCCAGGAGGACGCGCCGCAGAACGTCCCAAGGGACGCGCCAGGCGACGTGCCAGGGGACGTGCTATGGGGAGGCACCGCGGGACGTGCCAAGGGGACGCGCTACGCAACGTGCCAATGGACGTGCCACAGGACGTTCCAAGGGACGTGCCGCGCGAGATGCCAGGGGGACTCGCCACGGGACGCGTCACGGGACGTACCCAAGAACGTGCGAGGTTGCAATGCTGAGTGTATCGATCTCGATGTACTGTGCCGAGGGCTGTGCTGTGCCTGGGCATCCTGGACACGTGAAAACAAGCGTTTCGCTCAAGATATTCTCAACACATCCTCATGCTAGGCATCCGCCTAGGCAACGTGGACACGTGCAAGCAAGCGTCTCGATCGAGACTTCCTCAACACATCCTCATGCTAGACATCCGCCTGGGCGACCTGGGCACGTACAAACAAGCGTCTCGCTCCAGACGTCCTCAACACATTCTCATGCTAGACATCTGCCTGGGCAACCTGGACGCGTGAAACCAAGTGTCTCGCTCGAAACATCCTCAAAACCTGAGCACGTGAAAACAAGCATGTCACTTCTTCTTATTCTTCTTCTTTATCTGTTTTTTCTCGGCACGAGACACGATGCGCACAATCGCAATCGAGATCATCCGCCTCGGAGACTGCGGGTTATCTACCCGGGGGATGCAGGTGATCTGCCCGAGTGTTGGCGGCGCCTGCTCCGCTCATGCCCGCGAACGTCAAGATTAAACGCAAGGCCGCCTGGATGAACGAATTGGATCCCTTGCCTTGTGGACCAGGCGATGGCAAGCCTCTTTTGGGACAATGTGCCAAGACATGCCAGTACCACAAAAAAGAAAGGGTCGCACAACACAGAAAGGGCCTGTAGCTCCGCTGAAATAGCGTTATTTTGCCAGCGTGGACCCCAAGCAGTAAGTGATTGCACCATGGAGGCGTATTATCCATTGGTGGAACTTATGCGGTGCACGTACATGGTGAACGCACATCGGATTGCTCACGAACTGCGCAGGAGCCCCATGCTCTGGCACTGCAGGGGGATGACTATGCACGGCGGTTTGCACCAAGCAAGCGCCAGCCTGCGCTCATAAAGTGCAACATCGAGCCAGATCGGGACATACTATTCCGAACGCAGCCTTCGAAGTGTGGTGCTACTAGGGGCAGCCCGGGCGTCTGCTGCATAGCCGTGCACATTCAAGTTGCACAATCGCGGCGTGCAAAGCTTCGCAGAATAGCCTGGCTGAGAATCATCATGGAGACCCAAATTTGGCCTCTAGCACTGCGAGGCGATGCTTCAAACTTTCCAGCTCCGATTCAGCGGTGCCCGATTCCATTGACGGAGCTGTTGTACTCCTTCGGTGTTCCGGCAACATTCGCTTGCTTGGCCGTCCCTCTTCGATCGAACAGGGCAGGTTGTCGCAACCGTTTTCATATCTGATCTGGAACGTCTTCGCTTCGGTGGCATCATCGAGTTGGGTGAGAAATGTCACCGCGAATAAATTCATAATATAATCAAGAGGTGACTCGGAGTATGACACCAACAACGGCACCGTCAACCAAATCAGAAGAAATCCAATACCGTTCACCACAAAATGGAGGATACACCGAAGGATCATGCTCGGTCTTGACGGGTGAATCCACTCAGCCTCTCCAGCCCTCACGAAACAAGTGTGTTCTCTACCACGAGAAAGCACTTCTTCGATTAAATGGGCAGATGAAATATAACAATGCCTGCTAGTCTGAGGATCGGCATTGAACATGTAGAACTGAACCGCTACAATCGAAATTGCCCAATATGTCAAACTGATGTCAACCGTAGGGTGTACCAACGCGCGATAGAGCCCAACGATGTACACACTGAACAGCGAGATCTGAGCTAAGGCTTTGACGCATACCTCGGACATCGGGACCGTGAAATCCAGAAAAATGGTGTCACCGCGGAACTCCGTGGCATTCGCTGCGGGCCTCTTGCGGATCATGCGGCACACGTGCGGGCAGACGTGTCCGAACCCGATTGCGACGATTAAGCAGATACAAAGAAGTCCGGTAAAAAAGAGAAACGCACGCGATCGGCTCTTCAGTTCAGGCAGCAATGCCAAACATATCAGATCAGACCCTAAGTAGAAGGCAAGGCAACTTATGTTTTGCAAGTTCGGAAAGTGTTTGATCAGGTTCTCGTAGATCGCCCATGCAGGGGGCTGGTCAGGATAGCGACCAACAAGAGAGTACATCTCGTACAAGAAGGCACAAGTGCCAATCTGCGCCAATGCGACACCGCATAGTAAAATGACGGCCGCATTCTGGCCAAACATGTCGAACCACTCGGTGTAGCCGTCATCAAGAGTTGCCATCGGTGCCAGTACGGTGCAGTGCAAGCTTGGAGATCCAAGCTGCGGGCAACAAAACTTGAGCCAAAATGGCTACGGAGAAAAAACAAGCATGTCACTTGAGAGATCCTCTGAATTCTGGCCCCCAGGAGAGGACAATCTATAACACAAAACAAGCGTTTCGCTCGAGACATCCTCAACGAGATCTGCAAACCAAGCGTTTCGCTCGGGACACCCTCACATTATAATTCGCTGGCCCTCTTCGACCTCGTCATTCATCGCAAAAGAATTTCGCCGGCCCTCTTCGAACTCGGCACCGGGAACAAGCCTACCTACTCCAAAAGAACTCTGGGCCTAAGCCCTTTCCGGGAAAAACATGATCTCGACCCACGACCCCGGAAGGGAATATAGAGATGTAAAGCATGGCAACGTTTCAAAAACACCTGATTGAGCGACGGGCAAATGCGATGTTGAATGTATCGATCTTGATGTACCGTGTCGAGGGCTGTGCTATGCTGCGCCGTGCTGAAATGCGATGTGCCATGCCGCGATTGTGCTCTATAGCGTTGTGGATCGGGTCCTCCTTTGCATCCGAATCCTCACCGAACTGATCTTGATCTTGAGCTCTAGCTGCCTGGGCACATGGTAGCTGCCCCAGAGCTGACTGACAAGGGAACATGCCAGGAGGACGCGCCGCGGAACGTCCCAAGGGACGCGCCAGGCGGCGTGCCAGGGGACGTGCCACGGGGACGCACCGCGGGACGTGCCAAGGGGACGCGCTTCGGAACGTGCCAATGGACGTGCCACGGGACGTGCCAGGGGACGCGCCGCGCGACGTGTCCGGGGAGACTCGCCACGGGACGCGCCACAGAACGTGCCAAAGAACGTGCCATGTTGCAATGCTGAGTGTATCGATCTTGATGAACCGTGTCGAGAATTGCCATGTGCAATGCCACGATAGTGTTCTGTAGTGTTGTGGATCGAGTCCTCCTTTGCCTCCGAGTCCTCACCGAACTGATCTAGATCTTAAGCTCGAGCTGCCAGAGCACATAGTAGCTGCCCCAGAACTCATGGACAGGAGGACATGCCAGGAGGACGTGCCGCGGAACGTCCCAAGGGACGCGCCAGGCGACGTGCTAAGGGATGTGCCATGGGAACGCACCGCGGGACTTGCCAAAGGGAAGCGCTATGGAACGTGCTGGGGGCAAGCGTTTCGCTCGAGACATCCTGCCCAAATCCTCATGCTAGACATCCGCAGTGTCCACGCTCCCAGGGGGCCACGATCCATAGTGAATTACGCTGGGTTCGCGCCTCCAGGGTCAGGATCCCTCGTCAATTACGCTGCGTCCGTGCTCCCAGGGCCAGGATCCTTAGCAATGTACGCGGCATCTGCGCTCCCAGGGCCACGACCCTTCGTAAATAACAATCCGACCGCACTCCTAGAACCACCTGGGCATCATGAAGCGCCCAAGGCTTTCAAGCGCTGCAAAACAAACGTTTCGCCCGAGACATCCTCAAACATTCGGCACGCAGGGTGCGCAATCCTCGAGCGGGCACGCAAAAAGCCAACCTTCCTTCGACAAAACAAACGCGGGACTCGAGAGATCCTCGAAATTCCGGCGCGCGGAACGCGCCATCCTCGAGCGGGCACGCAAAAAAAACTTGTTCACATTTTTCGTGCCCCAGTCGGGGCTCCATACCTTGTTATTTAACATGGATTCTGCGCAAAGCGCTCCGCACCCTTTTTTTACAAGGGAAAGCGGGGGTCCGCGGACCCCATTAGGCAACGAGGATCCGAGATGAGGGGCGCACTTTCCTCGAGCGGGCACGCGCGAAACGCATTCTTTCCACGCCGAATGGGACTTTACCTTGTTATTCATCGCAAATTAATTCGCCAGCCCACCCCTGACATGGCACCGTGGACATGTTACCACACTACAAGATAACCCTGGGCCCGAGCCCTTTCCGGTATCAACAATTGATGCCGATGAAGCTTCTGGGTGCCTGTAGCATCCTCACCTCTCGGAGGCAGTTTTGGAGGCCATCTTGAGGCTATCTTGGGCCATCTTGGGGCCATCTTGGCCGTCTTGGAAGCATCTCGGAG